TCCTGCTTCAGCCTCCTACGTAGCTAAGACTATAGGTGCCGGCCACTATACCTGCCCTTTTTTTGTTGTTTTTCTTTTTTCAGTAGAGATGGGGTCTCATTCTTGCTCAGGCTAGTCTCGAAATCCTGAGCTCAAACAATCCACCCACCTTGTCCTCCCAGAGTGGTAGGATTACAGGTGTGAGCCACTGTGTCTGACCTGGTCTGTTTTCCACTAAGCCTCTGTAGGAATAAAGAGGAGAGGAAGAATCAACATGGATGTTTCTGGAAAGAGGGGTTGCCCATGGGAAGAAGGGAGGGGCTTAAGAATGTGAGCAAGGCATATATCATAGTCATTATAGAGGCACCTTTTCAGGGTAATGGCAAAAAAGGCAGGAGGCAAAGGTGTCTGAGACCAGAACTAGTTTCAGTTTTCATTTGTTGTAGCTTACGCTGCTCGCCTAGACACAGAAATGATGTTCACCGGGTACCTGCAAACAGGCACCTGAAGCTTCATGGCAGAGGCTTGGGGACATGGAACACCACTTAAGAACAGCAAAGTGGAAGGAAGGAAGCATGCAAGTACCTTCCCCTTCCCTGGATTATAAGAACAACCATGGCTGACTTGGTACCCGTAGCACAGTAGTTATGGTGCTGGCCACGTGCACCAAGGCTGGCGGGTTCAAATCTGGCCCGGGCCTGCTAAACAACAATGACAACTGCAACAAAAAAATAGCCAGGTGTTGTGGTGGGCACCTGTAGGCCCAGCTACTTGGGCGGCCGAGGCAAGAGAATTGCTTAAGCCCAAGAGTTTGAGGTTGCTGTGAGCTGTGATGCCACAGCACTTGACCAAGGGCGACAAAGTGAGACTCCGTCTCTTAAAAAGGAAAAAAAAAAAAAAATATATATATATATATATAATGATGTTAATGTTTCCTGAATATTTGGCAAATATTTTCTTACATCCTTTTTACCTTTTAGCTTTACCAATAATGGCTATAATTTTTCATATTTTCCTAAAGCCTTTCATTTTTCAGAAGTAAAATCTACACTTCCTGGTCAACCCCATCATTTCTGCAACAGAAGCCCCCACGGAGGCCCAGAGGCCTGGCCATCGCACCAGCCCTCACTCATGGGGAGAAGGGGAGGGAGGCTCACTCAGACAGGGAGGGAGCGCTCACTCAGACCAGACTCACTCCTTCTGTGGCTCTCCCAAGAACCTGGAACTGGAGGCCAGCCTTGGTGGCTTGAAATGATGGCAGAAGTAAATGCCTTTAGACAGGCGGTCCACAGTGCTATCCAGCGGCACAAAGTAGGAAAGACAGGGATGGCCTACAAGGGGCCCCTTCCCGCTCGCGGCACGAATGTCGTGGGGCACGTGTGTCGTGGCGAGGTGTCATTCGGGGGCACTTGGCTCCCCGGGCGCCCCTCCCGTGCCGCTGACCCGGCCCCTCCTACAGCACAAGATCTGCACGCCGCTGACCCTGGAGATGTACTACACTGAGATGGACCCCGAGCGCCACCGGAGCATCCTGGCGGCCATCGGCGCCTACCCGCTCAGCAGAAAGCACGGCACCGAGATGCCCGTGGCCTGGGGAGGGAACTACCACGCCGCTAAGGAGGGCCACAACCGGCCCACCCAGGCGGCGGCGGCCACCCACCCGCCCGGCAGTTCCTCAGTCCCAGGAGAGGAGGAAGAGGAGCAGAAGGCAGCCGGGAGCGCGCCACCCCCAGCCCCGCAGTGACCGCCTCCGTCTTCGCTGCCGCCCGGCTAGGGTAGGTGTGTCTGCGGCTGCGGAACACCGGCCAGCTCCGTGGTCTCTCTCTGGCCACCACTACTGAGAAAGGGACCCTCCTCCTTGCCCTACCTGACCCCAGCGTCGAGGCCGTCCATCCTACGAGCCAAAACCTTGGTGTGGCACGTCTCCCCGCACTCCTCCTTCGCGCCGATGCAAAAGTCTGAGCACATCTGGGGCTGGGAGGTGGGGAGTGGTTCCAGGAGACGCGGCGGGGTCCCCGGGGCGGGGCAGGGTTCCGGGCTGGGGTCGGGGTGGGTGGGACAGGTGACTGGGGAGATGGATCCGCGGTGGAGTGGGGAAGCGGCCTAGCAGCTGGTGGGGGTCCTGGACGCCAGGCTCGCGGGCTCTGAACCCTCGGCCCCTTTCTTTTCTATTCACAGCGTTCTCCCCCGGCTCCCATGACCAGCGCGTCCCCTGATACTGTTGCACCCCGTGTTTGTGCCCCTGCCTGAAGCATTCTCGCTGCAGCCCTCGCCCTTGGTGGGTTTCCAGCTCCTTCGCTTTTCTCTAAGTAAAGATTCATGTCCACCTAGGTCTTCGTTTCTCCTTTGAGTCCTCTGCCGGGCTAGCCTTTCTCGTGTCCCCTCCCCTTCCTGCATAAGAGAGCACCAGTGTCGTGTTCCGCCCCCCACCTTGACCTCTGAAACACCGCGTTCGGCCCTGGATAGCTGTGGCTCACATGAGGAATCCACATACAAGCCCAGCCTGGGCTCTAGAGACCTGCGTGGACAAGGCTTTGTCTGGTTCCAGTTGCCCAGGTTTGCTGCAGTGGACTGAGCTTCTGTCCTCAGGACAACCCCAATCTCTGCCCTGAGCCACACTCTGCAGTGTCCACCCACATCTGCCTGGTGCTGAGCCTAGGCCCGGCCTCCTCCATCTGGCAGCAGTGTGGTACTCTTCAGGTTGCCCTTGGCTCTGGGCAGTACCCACAGGCATTCTCCATCAAATAACTGAATGGAGGGTGGGGTGAGGTCCAAACCCTGCAGGCTGCCAGGGCAGTGCTCTCCCTCAAGTACTGTCCCACTTCCCAGGAGCTACATTGAGAGCCCGAAGGGCCCTGGGTGCCGGGGTTGCCCCAACTATGCAGGGAATGGGTCTCACCTGTTACCTCTGCCACCCCAGCCAGCTCAGCTCTGTTCCAATGTGGGCTGCAGCTGCACCCCACTGGAGCAACTGCCTTCCTCTGATCCCTTTCATCTTGGGACCTGACACCCCTCTGAGTGGGTGGTGGGTTTAGGCCTTAGAACTAAGGCCTAAGTTCTGGGGGTAAGGTCACTGACAGCCTGGCTGCTCAGGAGCCAGAAGAAACAGCTCCAGGGAGGAGAGGCTGGCCTTTCTTACACAGCATGGAGGAGGGTGATGGGACCCAACATCAAGGGTAAGGGACCCACACACACACAGACCAGAGCTCCCTGAAAACCCCAGGGTGGAGACCAATGGCTGAGAAAAGAGCCCAGTGTGGTCTATAGCACCCAGGGAGCGGTCCAGAGCCAGGGTCAGCAGGGTCAGGGGCCTGGGTGGTTACTAGGATACTGGTGGGGGACACAGGGCTGGGTGTTCAGACTAAGGACAGACAGGACCTCTGGTCATCAGCACCCAGGCCTGGTGGCATGATGGAGGTCTAGACAGCTCCTGCCTCAGTGGGACCAGCCTGACTTGGAACAGTGGGTGGTGCTCAGGACACCACTTAGCTGGGCACACCAGCAAGGTCATGGGCAAACTTGAGGCCAAGGGTGGGGTCGGAGGTTGGAGAGGCCAGACCATGTACACTGCACCCTTCTCTGCAGGCTTAGAAGGGCCTGGGCCAGATGGGCAGGCACATGTTGGACTGGGCTAGCCATGATGGTCATTGAGGGAGGAGTCCAGCAGGCCTGGTAGGCAGCAGGGTGGGGGGCAGGGAGCATCTGCACAGCTGATTTGTGAATTAAAATACTTTTTCTTATCTGGCTGCAGTGGCTCATGCCTATAATCCTAGCACTCTGGAGGCCAAAGTGGGAGGATCCCTTGAGCTCAGGAGTTTGAGACCAGCCTGAGCATGAGTGAGACCCTGTCTCTACTAAAAACAGGGGAAAAAATACTTTTTCTGTCTATTTTATTTGGTAATTTTTTTGTTTTGAAATGACTTCATATTTGGAGAAAAATGGTGATAAGGTAAAGAACTGCTATATAGCCTTCACTGACATTCCCTAATGGATGATGTGTTAGCCTGAGGATCTTAGGTGTGCTAAGAAATTTTTTAAAGATCATTAATCAGGGCTCGGTGCCTGTGGCTCAAGCAGCTAAGGCGCCAGCCACATACATCTAAGGTGGCAGGTTCGAATCCCCAGCCCGGGCCCGCCAAACAACAATGATGGCTGCAACCAAAAAAAAAAAAAAAATGGCCAGGCATTGTAGCGGGCGCCTGTGGTCCCAGCTACTTGGGAGGCGGAGGCAGGAGACTCGCTTGAGCCCAGGAGTTGGAGGTTGCTGTGAGCGTGATGCCATGGCACTCTACCCAGGGGGACAGCTTGAGGCTCTGTCTCAAAAAACAAACAAAAAAAAAAGAAAAGAAAAATACTGCTATAAAGAAATGCTTGAAGCTAGGTAATTTATTTTTAAAAGTGGTTCATTTGGCTCATGGTTCTGCAGGCTGCACGAGAAGTGGGAGGCAGCACCTGTATGTACCAAGGGCTTTGCAAAGGGTGAAGGGCGCTGAATGTGCAGGTCTCATGGCAAGAGAGAGGGGCAGGTGCTGGGGGACACCAGACTCTTTAACAACTAGTTCCCTTGGGAGCGGGAACTCCCTTGTCACCACCAAAAGGGAGGGCATAATGCAAACACCTGTCACTGGGCTTCACCTCTGTCTACCCAAAATAAGTGACCAAGGCAAAGATGGGAGTTAATTAGGCCAAAGTTGAGAACACACCCAGGCAAAACAAGAACCATAAATCTGTGACTTTTTCCAAAGGGAAATTTGGAAATTTCAGCCTTTGAAGTCATACAGAGAGGGGAAAAGTTGGGGCGGGGGTGCAGGGATGAGCCCCAGGAACACCTATATTTTACCTGATAAGGTGAGTGTTAAAGGAGAAAAAGAAAAGGAAGCATCAATTATGCTTCCCTGGGTGGGTAGAAGAGCATCTAACCCTATCTTGTGTCTGTTCTGCACAGTGAATATAAACTTATAATTCATAGTAGTATGGAATCAGTGTGGAATCGAACAGGATTCCAACACTTTCAGGAACTGGCTGTAGCCTATGGACCTAAAGCTGGAGTTCGTATGTCCTTGCATAGGAGAGGGCCAAGGGGAGTCTTCTTGATGACTGATCTGTAGAGCCAGCCCTACCAGGGTCCTCGAGCCTTCACCTTCTCTTTGCATGGGACTTGGGGTGTGGTCCTGTGACTTTTATTTTCTTTTACACCTCCAACATAGGGATCATGTTTCAACATAAGGTTTAGGGGGAGAAAGTTCCATCTCATCTGCCTTATCACATTCTATGACCTACCTACCTAAACCTATCATCTATCACCTATCTTTGTCTTTCATCTCTCTCATATCTATCTATTAGTCACCTGTAATCTCTCTAGATATCCGCCTAAAATTTTCTGATGCAGTAGAAAGGAAGTGGCTTTTTTTTCTTTGAGACAGAGCCTCAAGCTGTCCCCCTGGGTAGAGTGCCGTGGCATTACAGCTCACAGCAACCTCCAACTCCTGGGCTCAAGCGAGTCTCCTGCCT